AATGATTTGAAATGATCCCTAAATACTAATGGGGCTAAACCTATAGGAGACAGTTAAAGTAAACAAGATTTTGTAAACTATTTTCAATCCATGACTTCATATTGATTTTGTTGCCAAAACTGCATGTTAAAATCATCATACAAAATATAATTAGGTAAAAATTATAGCTTAGCATTAAGTGGATTATGGGCAAACCAAGCCAGAGTCTCTTGTAACAATTGCATGTATACTTTAATATTCCTTTTTGTTGGACATGAGATTTTGCAATTTATTATGAAGATTAATATTTAAGAAATTAATTGTGGACAACTCTCTCTTGCTTCTTTTGATGCAAGCCTTAGGTTCTGTAAGAGATAATAAATCAGGTTCCATTACACTCTCCAGTCATAATACATTTAGTGCCAGGAAAGCTATGCGGAATGCCAGAAGTATAAAACAGGCAAGCTAAATTATGATGGTGCAGCATACCAAAAGGAGTCAATCTTCTGTACTTGGGCATTTGATAAAGTATGCATACTGATTAACACCCAATCCCATAGGAAACAATTAATTCTAAACAGGGTCCACTTGAAGCAAAATGGACCCAGGCTGTTTGTACATAACTTTAAAAATGTGCAAAGCAACTTTTGGACCAATCACTGGAGAAAACCAACAAAAACTGAGCAGTATTCAGTTTGGGAAGGTGCAGAGTTCTCAGAAAATACTATAAGGGATAGTGTTAATGGGTGAACATGACATCATCTATAGAGTTTTAATAGGGAACTGGTAGCGTGTGGAACAGACTGAGCTGTTGAACCTCTTCAATCTTCACACAGCCTCCCTTCCTCACATCTATGAACCTTTTTAGTCACTATTACCACAGTAAAGGCTCAGGGAGGTATTCAGGGCAAAAGTTTCCACTTTTTAAAAATGATAGTATTTGTGGAGTCAACCAAGAAAATCACTGTGGGAGTCTAATAATCATCTCTAATTAACATTTAAAACTATTATATTCACCTGATCTATTAAAAAAGGAACTGAGTGCAACTTTACTATTATAAACTCCATCAAACAGAACATGATCATTCTACATTTCATTACTTTGGTCTCAAATCAGGAATGCTTGTAAGCACTTTTTTCATACAATCTAAATGTTAAGTGTCAGAATAAATGATGCTAAGCTAAATTTAGTTCCATTGGTACAGAATGGAACATATTGTTGGAAAAACTACATTTTAACTAGGAATTGTTCCTTGACCTAGGTAGGTACCAAGTTATTAATTTAGCTATTTTTTTTAATCATGTGGAGACTGGCTTTTCAAATTTTTCTCTCTGATTACCTACATAATATCAAAATAAATTTGATTTGTTTTCTTTGATTTAATAGATGTTTCAAAGACATGGTTATGACATTGATACATTTACAGATTGCACTTGTTAAAAAATTCAATCAGTATATTTAGTCTTTTAACTACCACTGCATGAACA